GCTGAAAGGCGCATCTTCCTGAAACTGTGTGTGTTGCATCTCATCCAGGCTAAAATTTTCCAGAATGGTATGGAATCGTTTAGATAACGGGCTTTAATAATATGCCTGGTGACATCCTTAAATTTCAAACTCTTAAACAAACAGAAGATTACAAAGTAGGCCACTTTTTTTATCTCAGAAGTAAGGTGTTGAGTCTGTGAGCATACTCTTACAAAGCTACTGTGGCAGAAAGACTTAAGTTGAGGCTTAAGGTGTTGAGTCTGTGAGCATACTCTTACACAGGCAGAAAGACTTAAGTTGAGGCTAGTATTTTAAGGCAGTTGTGAAATACCAGTGAGAGAGACAGGAAAACAGTACGCACAAAGTCCGAGAAGTAACAGAGTATCTTGCCTATATATGCCAAAAAGTTGGAAAGAACTGATGGGCTATATATAGTTTAAAAGTCATTTATAAGCTAGATTGTTCTTAACCCAGCTGAAGCACTTCTAAATTATTTGTGGCTTGTCAAAATGTTTTTAAGCAGGCAGAACAATCCCAGTTGCAATTCCTTGTGCATAGGAAAGGATGGAAAAATGCCCCACACAGTGCTTGCTGCCTCCCAGAATACAGTATTTTACTTCTTTTGTTTTGTCTGATTACTTGCAGCTTCAAGAAGTCTGTGCTTACAGAGCTAACATTATAAATACACAGAGCAAACTTTGAGGACTGTAAAATTCTAAAGAGCTTTTAAACTGACGTCTCAGACAGGTTCTGGATAAGCGAACAATGTGATGAGAGCATAATAGAGGAAAGGGGAGGGAGTAATACATCTTTGAAGGTAAATACGTACTTAGATATGAAACAGACAACTATTTCCTCCACGAGGGGGGAGGGAGAAAAACCACCACAACAAAAAGAGGGAGGAAACAGGCATCCAGCAAGTCAGAGGGGAAACAGAAGCCTATTTGTGCCGAATTTAACACACGTTTTCTATATACAAAGCTTAAATTATACTATCTTCTACATGGAAAAAAATAGTGTTTAAAACATTACTTCTACATCCCACTTACGAATAAATTCCTTTATTAGTCCTCTGAATAGCTCTTAATATCTAGAGGTCTCTGCACAGGCTATGGTGATCCATCAATCTATCCCACTAAGCACAGAACAGATAGACATCAGCTTGATTTTGAATGGGTAAGAGTTTCAAAGGATTTAAGGGAAAGCATTACAACACCCTATCTCACATTAGGGAATCTTTTTCAATGGAGAATTCTAGGGGGGAAAAAACAAACAACCCAAACAAACCCAAACTTTAAAACCAAAACAAAAACAGCAACAAAAACCCCAATCGCCAGCAAAGGTAACAGTTAGTCCTTGCTTCACAGCTGAGGGAGTTAACTGAATGCACTCAAGACCACTTGCAGCCCTTGATTTTTTAATATCAGCTTACTCAGAGCTGCAGTCACGCACTCTTAGAACTGCTTTCACCACCATGAAACGTTTGCAACTAGAAGCCAAAAAATCAAAGTTAAGAAAACAAGGCACAGAAATTGAGCATTGAGCCAAAGAATCAATAATATATAAATTCAAAGGGAAAGATATTTTTGCACGGGCAATATAAGTCACACAAAGAAGCAGATTATCCTTAATGATCAGAATATCTGGAAATGAGAAGTATGTATTTTGCAGAAAAAAATATTTGTTTCTCCTTCAAAGACATTAGGCACACTTTCAAGAAAGGTAGCTTATGACTTCCTACCAGAAGTAAATCAGGAATCTCACATATAATTGCTGACCGTAAATCAGTTGATTCCTCCCCCCGAGTGCACAACTTCAGCAAACCACGGGGAATTTTCCTGAACTTAGCTCTATTCGCCCACCCCCAAGCTACTGAAGCCCTTGGTTGAAGAAGAGACAAAAGCTTTAGCAGCCCATAGTTAGAGCACAGTATTAGACATCACTGCCTTAATTCTCATCTTTTCACACCTGAGTTCTAACCACTTAGTGACATGATCACTGCTTTTAGGTAACATTCACATTTTAGATAGTATACTTATAATCTATACGCATAAAGTAATTTTAAGTAAAATCCAAATTGTGGAAATGCAGAAATTAACTCCTTTTAATGACGTTATCGATCTGTTTCTTTTTCTCAACTTACACAAGACACGTTAAATGGCATGCTTTGATAAATTATTTATTTTAACCTGAAACTATGTTTAATTACATCTGAATAGCTCTGAATTGCCAGCTAACCAGTATGAAATTGTCAAATTATATTAACAATAGCTGTTCTCTTCTCTTCTTTACAAAATTAACTTGGTTTTCCCCAGGCTTTGAGCAGTACCCACATAAAGCACCTAGGTCCAGCTTCAAGCAGGAGATGGAATATCAGAAGATCAAACAAACTGTAGCTTACAAATGTCCATTTCTAGGACATGCAACATCTACATGTAAAATTAGTCAATACAGGTGGTTTCAGAAAGCAGGTAAGATACTCGACAACAATATAATGCTGACATACACAGTTTCTTTAGCACACACTAAAGAACAGCTATTTTCAAACTAAATTATCTCTTATTAAAGGCATGTAATTTTTTATGTGATTGTTCGAAGTACTAGTGAGCCCAGTAAAGGAATTTCTGGGACAAAACTAAGACAGTTGACCATAGTAAAATTTTTGCTGTTGACTTCCTTGGGGCTAGAATTTCATTCCTGGACTTCATGCAACCAAAACATTCATTTTTTCTGAAATAAATAAGGATTAAGTTGAACGTTATAGCAAGAGGAGATTAAATTCACAGAGCTAGTAAGAGTTAAATCTTATGTCTATAGCAAATCATTCCCTTCCCTCCTCCACAAATGAGTATAATGCAGCTTGCTGGCAAGAGCAGTTCTTCTGGGTGAAGTCTTAAAAATCTAAATTTCTGCATACTATGTGGAAAGAACAAAACAAATACCAGCCCCACCCCTAAACCCTATGCTTATACCAATGAAAAGCCAACAGTATTTTGTCCATAGGAATAAGTATGTTGCTTTAGAAGCCCTGACTGATTTTCCCAGCAGATCTGTTGATGATTCTGTCTGCTTGCTTCATTTTACTAAAATGATTTCATTTCCTGAACAATGCATACATGCAGCACTAGCACTTTACATTGCTTGAAGCAGACACATGTATAAGTAGCTTTCTACATCTCTCATTTTTTTTGAACTCTAGTTGTGGCTATATTTCTGAGACAAACACAACTACACGGGGTAAATATACACAGGAGGTTTTAAAATATCACATGTAAGACTGTGGAGAGCATTTATAGCAGTAAAATTAAGAAAGTTTAGTCAAAAAATATTTCTTCTTATAGACTTGAATGTTCTGTAGGAAGAAAGTAGCTTTTTTTACTATACAAATTTATAGTAATTGATATTCTGCACCAGCCAGCCTGAATGGACAGTGATGCCAAACGCCAATACTCAACACACATGACCTAAACCATCTTTACTTCCTGGGCATTAAAGGATATCCCAGGCCAGACATAAACTGAAGTCTTTGGGAGCTGCTCCATAATAAAACTAATAATAAAATCATTTTAAACTTAGATACCAAGAAGTAAGTCAATAAATTTTATCAAAATAAAATGCAGCCATCCACAGCTGAGTAAATACTTAAGTTTCTCTAATATATCCATTCTAGCTCAGTTTACCATAGCAATAATGTATCTTTTTGGAATGCTCTTTCACAGAGTTGCAAGAGTTGCTCTATTCCCCAATTTGTTGTAGCCCTATCAAATTCCACTCTGTAAATCCCACATTCCCAAAGTCACATTAACAAGTAGAGAGGACTCTCCTACCCCAAAAAAACTGCCCAAGCTCTCCTCACAGAATCAACACTAAGGTACCAAGAAAAGTTTCAATACAAAGAAGTTTCTTCTGCTTTGTTACAGTCTGAATCACTCAATGATCCAGTGGATTGGGAGTAGAAATAAAGTAGTGACCAGCGTTCACCCTAAACTGACCACGGAGGTCAATTCATTCCTCTGTCCTGTGTTCTGTCAATCCAAGTCTCAGGGGTGAGAGAAGGGGAAATAAGGCCTTGAAAATTTCAGCTTTTTGTACTGGGAAAAGGTCTTTCTATATTTCAAGTCCCTCATGAAACAAAACTGAGACATTATAATTGTGCTTCCTAAAGTTTTGCATTTAGTACTTGACGCAGTATCCTTGTCCCTTCTTTGCCACCACCTTCCACAATATTCTGCCATGCAAATGCTCAACGTATACTATACTGCTTACTGATGTGGGATTCCTGGGATGACTTGCAGCCCTCTGCCCTTCCATTTGACTGTAAGACAGACCCTTTGGCTCCAATGCCTGACTAGTGAAAGAAAGCAAGATGCTTCACTCCTCTTCCCTACCATGCTGCAGTCACCACCAAGCTGAGCTATACCTTTGCCCCAAAACACAACACAGGCCTGATCCTTTTTCCTCTGCATCAAGACGGGAAAGAGACAATCATTTATTTTAGATACTGCTATGCCACAACCTCTATACTCACCAGATGGTACGCTGGTACAAATCTTTAGTACAAATCTTTCTCCTCCAACATTTTTATCAGGCTAGTGACCTCTCCTCCCTTCCCTATACACGCACACATCTATCCATTCCAGTCTCTCAGCAGGTAAGTCTTCTCTTCTACATTCTACATTCTTCTCTACCACTCATTGCAGAAGCCGGAGCCCCTTCTCCCACCACTCACCCGTCAGGCCAGGCTCTCACAGGGCTGTCGCTGCCCTAGAGACAGCGGGGTCGGTGCCTGGCGCACAACCTGGCCCGGCGCCCCTGTGGCTTCCCTTTTCCCCCCGTCAGGAGACACCTCCTCCCCGCTCCGGTCGCTCCCGCCGGAGGTAGCTCGCCCTCCTCCCCGTGAAAGGAGACCCCTCCGGGCCCTGCGGGGCCGCCTCCCCAACGCCAGCCCAGCGCCCCGCTCTCCCGCGCCGGCCCCAGGCCCACCGAGCCCCCTCACAGACCTGTGGATCCGGCCATCTTGTCCAAAACCCCCCCCACCGCTCCGGGCCTGCACGCCACGCGCGTCACTTCCGCTAGACGCAGCGCGTCACTTCCCACAGAGCACCCGCAGCTCCGGAGCGCGGGGGAAAGGCACCGGGGGGCGGGACCGAGGGGAGGGGGCGGAGCCCGGGAGCGGGGCGGGGGGGACAGCAGCCTGGCGGGGGAGCCTCGGCGGCCACCGAGAAAGCAGGAAGGCGGCGGAGCGAGGCCCGCGAGGGGCTGCGGGGGCGGTAAGAGCGGCGCCCGACGGCCGTGAGGCAGAGGATGCGGAACCCGCGCCGATGGCCGTGCAAGGAGGGTCGGGGCCGCCGCTGCTGCGGGATCCCCGAGGGCGTTCCGAGCGCGGGGCTGGTGGCAGCAGCAGCTCCTCACGAGTGACTGCCCCGCACACAGCGAGACTTGCAGATTCCCCTGGTAGCGACCAAGAAGCAAGGATACAGAACCCTTTTCCTCCAGCTCACCCAGGAGGAGTCCCTGCCCGCATCACTTTCCCTTTGCTCCCAAACACTGGCTGCTATCACAGCTTTTAATTCTTCCATTGATTTCTATTTCCTTTTATAATTACTAGTTTTGACCAGATTTCTGTAACAGGAATAGGCAGGAGTTTCAACAGTAACACCAGCAGGACCAGCAGTCAGCTTTTCAAGTACAGCAAAACTGTTTCTTAAGCTATAGTTTAGTGATCAGTGGAGCTTTCTGTTGTCATGATGAACTGATCATACAGATTCCCTTCTGTAGCCTGTGTCAGTGTTTCTTTTAGCAGAAACAGTAAGGATACTGAAAGAAAAAAAGGCATGGTATTTAAACATTTTTCTCCCAACTATTTTAATAGAAAATAGTGTGTCCTTGAACAGAAGTAAAACACCACAATTTCTTCCTATTTGTGATCACGCACCAGAAAGGAGCACTACAGCTACCCAATGCCTGGGGGCTTTTCTCTTTCCAGGAGGATTAATCCATCTTTTTTTAGGTGCCCCTAGGCTAACGCTGGCGAGCACACCTGCCAGTCTTCTGAGACAAGGTACAGAGGTGGCTGTAGCATTATCAAACTGACAGCACACAGCAGGCTCCACACTCCATCTATATCTCCACTCACCTACTAGATGTAGGTCTCATCCTATGGGCAGCAGCAGCCACAGGAAATAGAGATAAAATGGGCCAAAAAGGCAAAAAAAGCACCAGGTCACCTGGCCTAGGTGAGGAACCCCATGGTGAGTGACTCCAACAGCTATTTTGCTGTGGGAAATTTCCTGTAATAAAATGTATTTTTCTGCAACACTGAACTTGAGGACAGATACCTGACAACTAGAAGCTGAACAAATTCAAAGTTTAAGTTCCTTCCCCCCCCCCACCCCAAGCTCTCAAGAGTTTACACAAGGTAATGAAGTCACCTCTCACTCTTCAAAAAGAAAGAGTTTTTTGAAATAGAACTTCTGCTTCACAACTTGGTCAAAATAGAGTAACGGTAATCACTACAAGAAAAAAAAAAACTTACATAAACTTTATTATCAAACATCACACGGCATCCCCTGTAAGAAAACTTTGAACTGCAGTACGCTCAGCTCAGAAAATCCACGTAAGACAAGCATGTTGTGGGATAAATTTATTCAAAAGTAGTGTTACACAGAGTTGAGATTTTTGAGTACAGATTCTACGGACAACCCTCTTGCGGTAAAACACTGTCTCTGAAGTTGCCAGAGCGAATGGCTCCCAAGCTCAAGCTCCATCCCATCCTTTAAGTATTATTTGGAATAAAGTATTGATAAAAGACAAGTAAGGAATAATTATTCCCCTTTCTCGGACTACAACAAACACAGACATAGGATAATAGTATCTTCCAGCAAGTTTAGTACAAACAAGTTATTTTTCACAGAGAGAGTAACAGATTTGTGTAACTCATTTAAGCAGAGTATTAGAGAGGACGTAACTCTGCCTGCGTGAGTAGGGACATAAAACACCACATGGGATGAGAAAGAGCTCTTACTGCTACTCATATCATGGTGCATTTACAAGCCCTAACAGACAGAAGTGGCCTGTTATAGGAAGCTGGGCATAAATGTAATGAACAGTCATTAGTCTAGAGAGCTTAGAGTCAGAAGCTGCAGTTCTGCAAGTGACTGCAGACTGCACCTGCCCCACAGATTTCTCTCATTTCAGCAGTGCACAACTTGGGTCTGATTAGCCAAGAAGAGCAGCGTTAGTCACCCTCTTTAAAAATGGAGAAAATGATAGGTATTAAGCATCAGCAGAAATACACAGAAAAACATAAAAGCAATAATAACGACATAGAAAACTACTACAGAGTTTCATGCCAAGCAAACAGACATTTAAATCATTACCTGAGCCCAGAGAGGACTCCTCAAGACCGTAACACAGCTTCATTTTAATGACAAGCATCGAGCAGCCTTAAAGTTACCTCTTTTCTCTCCAGTACATACAAGAGAAATAAGCAAATTCAATTTCCATCCCATCCACCCAGAGATTAACTCCCTTCTTGTCACACCATGGGAGGATCTCCAAGCCCCCTTACTTTCTTCACAGGTACTACTTGTATCTCCTCTTTCCTTAACTTGAAACCCAATTCATAGTTTTTGTTTCCTGCTTTCTATTTGTTTTAATATGTACTCACAAGATCGTGGTTGCACAAATTCACTGTATTTATAGGGAGTCCACTTTGCTCGTTTCCCCATGCTGCCTCAACCTGGAAGTACAAGCAGTTAAATACCTGAATGACCGAGAAAAAAAATCAAATTAAAAAAATAAATCTCATGAAGACTTAAAATGTGCAAACACAGAGTTATAAAGAAAACTTCCTGATATTTCACAGATGTGAAAATTCACAAGGATGCCAGGAGTGACAAATTAGAACAAAATAGAACAAAAATGAGCATTACTCACAGCAGAAATACAAAATTTTATTCTTTATGCACTCAAATATAAATTTAACAAAATCACAAATCAAAGGTTTAAGGGCACATTAAAAAAACCCCTCATTTTTCTCTATAATTTGTTCGTGTCATTTATTATTGTATTAAAATGTAAGTTTTGTTATTTCATGCAAAGATTGTATTTTTTCCCCTCCCTGTATGCAAAAGAACAAACATATGGTTTTGGAACGGTAAAAATGCAATATTCAAAAGAATGTGTTAATGTTTTTTAGATTTAATGTAGAGAAAAAATAGTTTTTTTAAAGCTGCTGTTTGGTTTATACTGAAATAAATGATGAAAACATATACTGGAGAATGCGGGCATCGATCCCGCTACCTCTCGCATGCTAAGCGAGCGCTCTACCATTTGAGCTAATTCCCCATCTGAAAAAAAAAAAATATCGAAACTTACAGTTACACACCCCACGCTTACTGAGAACTACAACCACTTTCAATTGTAAATTCATTGTTTCTTGCTGAGTCACTCCTTCCACTTGCCAGTAACTGACTGCAACTTACAGCTGGAATCATGCGATACATCTTTCAGCATGTACGCTACCAGAATAACCCTATTCATCTCTTTGGCAATACAAGTCTTCATTATTTAGCTGTTTTCATACAAGAAGCTCTCCAAAAGATCAAGTTATTTACAAGAAACCAAACGTCCTACTGAAAAAAAACCCCCCAGCTTTTATTAAACTGTTCCAAATTCAACAAGGAAAACTATATTCTTTCCAATTTTCAGGGCATACACGTGAAAAACCTGGTTTAGGAAATATTTTTCACTCGTTAAACATTATATGCCTGACTGAAACAAGAGTTTTGTAGTCAAAACTTATACATATAAATGTGTATATAAATACACATTCACATCCTTTTGGAAGGTGTCTCTGGGATGACAGTCAAGTGAAATTAAAACATACCTGTATTTTCCTTATTTCTTACCTCACCAAACGCACCTCCCTATATAATTAACACATTACTTAGCCTTAAAACACTGAATTTTTTAGAAATTAACACACACAAGCATGACAAATGCTTGCATGACTTGACACAGAGGTTAAAATCTAGATTACACAGAAGTAACACAATGATGTATGGTAATAGGCTATCTTTAACATTTTAATTGTCCCCTTTACTTGCTGCAGGCAAGTATTTAACTCAAAACGCAGCTCGAGAGATCTAGTATTACTAGCTCAATTTGTGTATTTGGAAAAAGCTCCTGACTGCACAAGCCTTCCTCTCGATATTTCTCAGAAAGCTGGAACAATTACAGCAACTTAATTAACAGGCCCACCCGTACCCCGGGCCCGGCCCACCATCCTGCCAGTGTCCACCACCGCGGCAGGAGACAGCACACGTGCAGGGCCGACCTGTTCCCCCCCTGCCCGGCCCGGGGAGCCACGGGGCTTCACCCAGCAGGGCGCCTCCATTGCTTAAACTTCTTCATTTACAGAGTGGATTCTCCTGTGCTGTGTCAGCACTGCACCCGACAGTGACTCTTTGCTAAGTTAAGCCACATTTCTCACGCCCCAGGAGCGGGACAGCAGAACAGGAGGTGTTACTCATCCATCACGCTTCAGTCAGGCTCAGGGGACAAACCGGAGTGTGACTGGAGGCAAGATTGCCACCTGACTGGTTTCTAACTGGCCTGGCTTGTTTTCACATAGTTTTACTGGCTTTTAGTGACGCTAAAGCTGCTGGTTTATATACATGAGCCCTGACATGTGATGGGTGGCTTGGAGCTATTGTGCATAGAATGCTTTGGGTTGGAAGGGACCTTAAAGATCATCGAGTTCCAACGCCCCTGCCATGGGCAGGGACACCTCCCACTAGAGGAGGTTGCTCAAAGCCCCATCCAGCCTGGCCTTGAACACTTCCAGGGAATCATACACACACATTCAGTTGTTCCTGGAGCCGGCTGCTTTGGCAGGTGGCAACACAAAGTAGGAAAACTTGAAAGTAACCCACTGTCTCAGTTCTGCGTGGCAGTATCCACTCTGTGCTTGACACGCTTCAGTGTAGATTTGCTACAGATTTCCTGATGGTGCCAGCCACAAGAAAATAATAAGAAGAAAAAATAATGGCATTCAGCAAAAAACATATTTAGTTGTCAGTTCTCTAAAAGCATGAACAGTGCAAGTGAGA